ATATAGTTGTATCTGCAAATGTATTTGATAATGTTTTGAACTTTTAAAATACTGCATGATAGAACCAAAAGCTGCACTTAATATTAGTGACAAACTTTGGCCTTTTTTGATGTGTTGCCTTCATTTTTGCTTCTGTTTTTCATTTAAAATAAGTTTCCATTCTCTGCAGGTTTCTAAGGTTCTTCTTCTACATATTAAAAAGTTGTTAAACATCTGAGTGGTGCACTACTGCTACTAGTGGTGAGAAAGTGTATTGCACTTATTTAAAATCAATGCGGTCCCGCGGCCCTCTGCGGCCCAAAGTTAAAAACTGTTGTTCTTTGAGGCCCTCAAGGTGGCGCTCACGGCCTACAGTTGGGCCGCGGCCCATGGGTTAAGAATCTCTGATTTAGATGCTTGTTGGTAAAATCCACTTATCACCATGTTTCATTTGATAATTTATCTTAGATGATAAATTCTGCAAAACAGCTACCAGCCTGGATCCTGGTTTTTGTTACCAAACAGCTCCCCTCCTCGATATGCCTGCGAACCTTAACGACGCTCAGGAAGAAGGATGTTGAACATGTTAACGACACTGAGGTCACTGCAGACCTGCACTGTTTATTTCTGAAACAACTTCCTCTCAGCTGGAGGCGACAGTTCAGAGGTTATTTCATCCCTTGATGAAGAAACATTCCTGTCTCACATCAATCCTTGGTTTTTGTGAATTGCGTTGGATAAATTAACAGGCTCTACTTAACTGAACTGAGTAAATCTAAAGCATTTTTTATTTACTTTATAAGTGAGAGTGAAGTAATTGTGTTAGATTTACTCACTTCAGTTGAGTAGAACCTGTTGACTTAATTTATTTGAATAAATCCAACACAAACATTTAGATATTTTTTTAGTGCAGCAGTTTTTTTTTTTTTACCACACTTGATTTAAACTGAGTCATTAACAGGCTTCTGTAGAAGCTAAAGATCTGCTGATGAGCAGGAAACATGTTGGAAAGTGGTCTTTCTGGACCCTGGTCTGCTCATCTTTTATTGTTTGGACTCGAAGTTTGACATGGAAGTTTTGTGATGTTTGGTTTTATTGTGAAAGTGTCAGCTTCTGAACTTTAAAACTAAAATATTCCTTTATTTCAGACGTACAGCGAGGAGTTGGGCGTCAGCGCTCAGGCCTGGCTCGATAAATGTATTCTGGAACACGGACCCCCCAGCACCCGCATGTTTAATGGTACACATGTCCTTCCTTTGTTCCTTTTCTTCCTCTGCAACATATTTATCCCCTCTGTCAGTCTAAAGGTTCCTTTGAGCCGACTGCCCCGGTGATAAATGCTCTCAGTCACAACGAACGTTATCTCACCGTCAGCCCTAATGGCTTTTAATGGCAGATTACATTGTGTAAAATATGTGATCATTAGTGGGGAGTATCATGGAAAGGCTTTTTAATGAACCTTGTTTTATCTGAACATCATAAACTGCTGGGAGATGGAAAACAAATGTGTGTGGGGTGTGTGTGTAAATGTGCATCAGTCATCGCTGCCATGTGTTTCCCTCCATTAAGCAGGATATGAATTAGGTGAGAATCTGTACTTTTCATCCTCTGCGGCCCCGTGGTCGAGCGTTATCAGTGCCTGGCAGCACGAGAAGTGGCACTATGCTTATCCCAACGGATCTGCGATAGGACTGCCGATCGGTCACTACACTCAGGTAAACACATCAGACTGCTGCCAGGCTCTGTTTACTGCTTTTATGAGCTGATTCACATTTAAACACAACCTGATTCAAGAAGGCCAAACACAACGAAAAAATCCTAAATGTTTTTGTTTTGTATAGATAAAGAGCTAAAACTGGCAGGTAACTATGTGGACTCAGTCCTGCCTGTTACACTGCAAAAACTGTTCATCTAACCACGTTTTAAAATCTTATGTCCAACCAAAAGATCTTGTTTTGAGACAGATTTACTAAACAAGAACAGAATGGGTAAGCCTGGAAATTTCATTTGGTAGGTTTCTTGAAATAGGAAAAATTTTAGTCAAATTAAGTGATTTTGTTTCGAGCCCCGCCCCCCTCCAGCTTCCAGACCGGTCCACTCCGGTTTGAGGTTTAGTTAATCAAACATCTTCATCTTCTACCAGTCGGGTCCCTGAGACAACAGGTCCAAAACCTTCTTCCCAGACTCTCTCAAGCTCCTCCCTCAAGGTGCTCACAAACCAGAGAGGGAATACACTGCAAAAACTGTCCACCTAACCAAGTTTTAAAATCTTATATCAGCCAAAAAGTCTTTTTGATCTTGTTTTGAGACTGATTTACTAAACAAGAACTGATTGTGTAAGAATAATCATCTTGTTGTCAGAATGTGTAAGATTATTTGTCTTGTTAGTCTGAAAATTTGACTCAAATTCAGTCAAAAATTTCACCCAGTGGAGTAAGAAAATTTTACTTGGTAAGATTCTTGAAATACTTGATTTGACTCATTTTTTTCTCATTTCAGGAATCTTACCAAGTAAAAAAATTTTACTCCACTGGCAGAAATTTTGATTTAATTTGAGTCAAATTTTCAGGCTAACAAGACAAATAATCTTATGCTGCGTTCACACCGAACGCGATTTCAGCATCAGGAGCATCAGGTTTACATACAAAGTCTATGGTGGACACGCTTCAATCAGCGTCAGGAAGTGCTGCGGCGCCTCAAGCGCGATTAGAGCAGCGCGATTTGAACGATCTGAACGATCTGAGCGTTCGAAGCGCTGAGGCTCAAATCGCTGAAGTTAGAAAATCTGAACTTTTGCAGCTCGACGCGCCGCGTCAACCAATCAGAGAGACTCCACTGTGTGACGTAGTGACATATTTCCTGACAGGACAGTTTACTGAATGATGTCCTGAAACAGATGGAGAGTAGCTCTTTAGCTGAAATTGTGCCTGCAGTCGGTGTCCTGACAGGAGATATCTGCACCAATGCGTGGCAGCGACTCATCAGACTGGAAAAATAGTCCTGAAAGCGAGCTGTGAGCCTCTACTCTGAATTATCTGGTGAATTAATTATGAATTAATTATCTGATGAACGTAACATGCTCTTGCTCTCTGTAAATAAAGCAAAGYCACTTCCTCGTCCGACATTAAACAGAGCCCGACAGAGGAGGGAGGGGCGGGGAGGCTCTTSCCGTGCAGCGCTTCAAGAACTGACCTGCGTCTGACCTCAAAGTGCACGAGCGACCAACTTCAGCGTTGGCTGCGATTTTGAAGCTGAAATCGCGTTCGGTGTGAACGCAGCATTACACATTCTGAAAACAAGATGATTATTCTTACACAATCAGTTGAGGCCCCCGTTCACCTGGGTTGTACCCATCCCCAATTACCATTACCATTACCATTACACAATCAGTTCTTGTTTAGTAAATCACTCAAAACAAGATCAAAAAGACTTTTTGGCTGATATAAGATTTTAAAACTTGGTAAGATGGACAGTTTTTGCAGTGTATAAGCCCTCTAGGAGGTTGTGAGTCTCTTCCAGGTGTAAAATACCTGCAAAACCTCTTGAGGGAGACGTCCTGATCAGAGGAGCCCCCTCAGCTGCCCCCCTAAATGTGAAACAATAATCAAACACGGCTTTAAATAAACTTGGCACAGAAAATAAGGTAATTAGTGTTGTAATAGTTCTTTATGGCAATAAATCTTAAACCGTTGGAAATCCTGTTAATTTCCCTTTTACTAAATGGTGCCACATTTGTAAGGAACATGCATTTGTGGGATGCAAACGTGAAAAATTTGCCAAATCTTCTCTGCCAAACAGTTTTGTTTATGCAGCTTGAGCTTCTGGTATTTGATCTAATATTTGTACAGAAATGTCCTCGGTGTTTCATGGAAGGTTGTTTATTTTTGAGTTTTTTTGAACTTTAATAATAATGTTTGTTTTTGTTGCAGGTGGTGTGGAACAGCTCCTACAGAGTCGGCTGTGGACTCACGCTTTGCCCCAACAGCACCTACTTCTACGGCTGCCATTATTTTCGAGCGTGTGTGACATTTATCTACATGCCCAACTTTATGTTTTATTAAACATTCTTCTCAAAAACTGTCCAATCCTTGTTTTCTGACAGTGGGAACTTCAGGAGGTGGCCACCTTACAAAGTTGGAAACCCGTGTGCTTCTTGTCCCAACAACTGCGTGGACAAACTCTGCAGTAAATAACAAAAATTTAATTATTTCATGAGTGTTTCTAATCAAGAAGTTCATCTTGGTTTTGTTTTTTTTCCCACGCAGCCAATCCCTGTCCTTACATCAATGACGTCATCAACTGTCCTGCCTTGATAAATGAGTTTGGCTGCAACAGCTCGCTGGTGTCTGGATGGTGTCCTGCTTCCTGCAAATGCACCACAGAGATTATCCCCATTTATTAAACTCACAGGTTTCAGAGCTCTTAATCTGAAACCCATGCATGATTCTTAATCATCTATAAGGAACATTAAACGCATTGAATAAAAGCAAAATCACTTTTCTTTTTTTATACCTTGAATTTTGTTTTAACATCTTTAACCTTTTGAGGATATTAGGGTTAGGTTATAAATGCAGAGATTTAAATTAAAAAATATTAAATCTGTAACAAGTAAAGTTTTATACTGAGAATGACAGCATCATTTTTAATTACATTATTTTATTTTAGGAACAGTTTTATTGGATGACTCTTGGTTTTTCTTGTTGATTCTGTTCCTGAGTTTTATTCTCAGTCCGTTACCTTTTCCTCTAACTCTGATCTTGTCTCAGCTGATTGTTTTATTCAGTAGTTCAGTAGAAATTTTGCTAAAACATAAAAATTCAAACATTTAAACGCTGAGGGAAAAAATACAGAAGACAAAAGTAATAGTCAAAATGACCAGCAGATGGTGGTGTTGTACAAGTCTTTGACAAACCACAAATATCTGATCTAAAACACAATAAATCAAATGTTTTGAGTATTTTAAAAAAAGTATCACTCATTGTGTTTTTCATAAAAAACCATATTGCTTTAGTCTGAATAAATTAAAATAAGTCTTCTGATATTTGTGGCTATTTTTAAAAGGTTTGATTTAACCACAATTCATGACTTCCCTTGGTTACACACAAAGGGTGTGACTTTATTTTCACAAGAATCCTGACACAACAGGAGACATACAGGAGAAGCTAAAACTGTTACTTCATCTGCAAAGTTAATTTTCTGCATAAACTGCCTGCTTAAAGAGGAAGATCTGACCAACAATGTGACGTAAAATAAGGCTCATGTGAGTTTTATTCATGGAAATAACTTCATTAGTGCTCATCACATGTGGCTTCTAATAAATCTGTCATCAGTCATGTCAGAGAGCATCCTACAGACTCCCGTTTCCCACATACTGTGGAAAAAACACACTGTGGAAAAACATTTTCAGACTTTTTAAATAAGTTGTCTTCCAAACTAACAGAAGGCAGAGTTTGAAACAGATGTTTCAGATAAAATATCCAAAAATATAATTTTGTTCAGTGCCTGATCTTTCATGGAGTTACTGAAACTAACAGAAAAACTGTCTTTTTTGTCACATTAATAACATTTGTTTATATGAAACACAAAAATGCCTACAGCTTCACAGATTATGTGATATTTGGTGTGGTAGTAGCTGAGAGTCATCCACTACACATTCTTTGAGTGTAGCAGTAGCATTTCGTCATAATCATATTTTTTATTTAACCCTTGGTCACAGGAGTGGTTTTAACCCAAAGGCAGCAGGATGGTTGATACAAATCTAAAGACTGTGAGGTGGTGGGTTCCTTCAGGGAACACTTCACTTTTACACATCACTGACTTGTCCTTGTTATCCTTTGTGCTTTTGTGTATATTGTTTTTATTTTGTTCAGATATTTATGTTTATTTTTTTAATTGTGTGCATTCTATCCATTTTTCTTTTACAACTTTTTCTGGTTCTATCTTATTCCAGAAATTCATACTTTTTTAGCTATTTTGCTTTTTCTGCCATTTTATTCTCTTGTTAGATACGAATGGAGTTATCACCTAAAAGCCCTTTAAAATGTTTAAAAATCTTTATATTTTTTCCATTTGTTCTGGTTCTGCTTCTTTCAACATCTTTCGAAAAAATATCGAACCATGAGACTAAAGTATCGAACCAAACTGAATTGTGAATTTTCTGCATCGTTGCACTCCAAATACATATGTTTGTGTGTGTGTGTGTGTGTGTGTGTGTGTGTGTGTGTGTGTGTGTGTGTGTGTGTGCGTATTAAAAGTGAAAACGCAGGTGTGTTTGAGGTTCAGTCACTAAGCTTGTTGTGTCTCGTGCCGTGCGCGTTCACGACACATACACAACTCTGTTCCCTGGAAACGACTTCAGTTCTCGGGGGTTTACCGACTCAAAAAAAGAAGGATTTTTTTGCCCTAAAACTCCACAGAACGACCACCGACCGGCGTGAGTCTTCAACGAGCAGGGGATGGTTTAATGAGTTAATTTTGTGTAATTGTTTCCGGTCGGAGTTTAAGTTAACTTTACCCAGACTAAGTTAGCGCGAGCGGCTGAGTTTAGCTAGCGGGCTAACCAACTAGCCGAGCTCACAAGAAGCGAGCTGCAGTCCGCTTCTCCCCCTCCTCTCTGTCTGTGGTGGCAAAGAAATAATCTGGGACCATGGAGGGGCCAGGCAGCTCCGGAGGTAAGCACACAGATCCAGCTTGAAATACGCCAAGCTAATTATGAGTTTTATTTATTTTAATGTGGACGTTAAGTTAACAAGCGGCTTAATTTAGAACAGAAGGGGGATTAAACCGCATCGAATCATTAATTTGTATCACCGGTGCTTAAAAAAAAAAAAAAAAAAGGCTGGCGCTGCATGTGTTTTGTCGTGTTGCGTTCACGGTGCTCGTGAGTGAACATCCGCTTTCATTGAGTCCTGTCAGGGCTGAGGCTCGTGTGTTCCTGCTCTCAGCCCGTGTCAGAGCTCGTGCTAACCCGCTGCGTCTCTCCTCAGAGCCCGGCACGCGGAGGAAGCCCCTCGAGCCGTAGGAACCGGGAGGAAATGTTCACCGGGAGATGATACATTGGAGTGAAACCTGAAGCTTTGCACCCTGAGTGTGTGTTTGTGTGTGTGTGTTTGTGTGAGAGAGTGTGCGCCTTATGGCGGAGTTAGGGGAGGACGAAAGGCTGCCTCCCTTCAATCATTTCGGGGGTTCGGCCGAGCCCAGCGACGAGGCTGCGGGCAAGACGCACTGCGAGGTGGTGTCGGTTCTGAACGGGGACTGTGGGACTCCGGAGGACATCATGGTCGGCTCGGGATCCCTCGGCACACCTGGCGGCCGAGCCGGAGTGGAAAACGCCTCGGTCGGACCGGATGCCAAATCCGAAATACCCCGCAGGAGCAGCATCATCAAGGTAACCAGTGAAGTTCACATATTCTGCTGCACATTTAGTGCAAAACATTACAGCTTAAATGACCTCCTCCTTGCATTTCATCTGCTTCCTTATAACAGACTGATATGTGGGTCACCATCAGAACACCTTGTGTTGTAAATGGACATAAAACCTTATAAACATGTATGTTCACATCAGCAGGATGTGATGTGGAAAATAAAGATTGTACACAGGAGACTTGAAAGTACAATGGGCTTATATAAAAGTTTAACCACACAGGATGTGTAATAAATTTTAGAAACAGCCGAACCTTTGACCCTGCAGTGTTTGGATCAGGTGTGGCTGTTCAGTTGTGAGTCTGTGTGCTGGGAACATTAGGGTCACTGAAAAGGTTTTATCTCGTAGGACATGAACTCAGGTAATGTTTGTTTGAAGCATCTGGTTGGTCAGTAAGAGAAATCCTTCTGATAGGGTTTAGAAAAAAACCAACAACACACTGGGCTGAGACGAGTGGCGATTTGTAAATTTTCTGTTGCAGTATAATTCTAAATGTTTGTGACTTGTGAGATGTGTGGACGTGTTTCCGGTGTCCACTTCATGAAAGTTATTATTGTTGTGTGCACACCTCGAAAAACTGCACTCTGGCTCATACCCTAACCATCTTCTCCTGTTGGCAGCCGCCCTCATGTCTTTGATTCAATCTCCTGGAGTTCATTTCAGAAACAGACACATTTGGACCAGTTTAGCTGTGAGTGGTTGTTTGTAGAGCTGCACCATGTATCGTTTGAGCATTGTCATCGCTGTGTGTGTTCACAACAGTCACGCTGCAAGAGGCAAATTAAATCAACGTGTTATAAACCATAAGTCACTGCATTAAACGGTCGCGTGTTACAACTTTTATTTTGACGGGTTGCTTCCACCGGCAGATGTTTGCAGCTGGGGCTGCCACAAACAATTATTTTTATAATCGATTAATCAACGATTATTTTTTTCGATTAGTCGACTAATCGGATCATACGCTAATTGAATATAAAACCAGGGCTGCCACGATTAATCGATTAATCGACGACTAATCGATTATTAAAATAATCGATGACTAATTTAATAATCGATTAATCGTTTTCTTTTTTTGTTGTTTCTTTTACTTTGTTTTTCTCTCCAAACTGCTTTGACACCTTCCACTGCCACATCTGCCT